AGTCGGCCGCTAGTCTGCATGCTGACGTCATTCTAAAAAATCAAACCATTTATTTCCAAATGCTATAAGCCTATAATTTTTGAACCTTGTATTTATTTTTAGTTCCGTCTGCACCATTATGTTATACGCGACAAGACGAATAAAACTAGACCCCACTTGCATGTTTCGAATAATATTTTTCTAGTTGTAAATTATATGTATTAACTTATAATCTATAACTTATAACATACAACATATACACCAAGTTGTATTGAATAATTTATGTACACAAGTTGTATAGAATAACTTATGTATAAAAGTTATGTTTGATAACTTTTATACATAAGTTCTATTTCATTACTTTTGTGTTTCTAAGTTTTGTTATAAGTTAATTCGTTCCTTTACGTATTAATAACTTTTGTGTTTGTAAGTTTTAGCATAAGTTATAAGTTAATTCGTTCCTTTGTATTTAATAGCTTTTTTAAATAAGATGTGTTTCATAACTCTTTTGTTTTCCAGTTTTTCGCATAGGTTATACGTTATGAGTTATATGTATAAGTGAGTACACATAATTCGCTAAAAGAAAAAAAATTCTTCGAAACATATGTAAGTGTGGTATAGTTTTATTCGTCTCATCGCGTAGAACACATCGGTGCAGACGGAATTTAAACTAGATCACCGTTTAGCCGTTATAACATTTTAGAATAAATGTTTTGCTTTTTCGTAGTTTGTGTCAGTGCTGACGTCGGAGGAACGAGAGCAGCGGAGGGGAGTCTGGCATGCGGAGTCTGCACCGCTATTAAGGACATGGTTGGTAGGGAAAACAGCTCCGATTTCGACTCTTATAAACAAGCAAATTCTTCTAGAGAACTGAAGGCGTTTTTTTTACCATTCGACAAAACACCTTCTCTGGGTGGCAAAAGGAGTAAAAAGTTCATAATACCCTTTTTCTATTTTCTCTTTTCTTTTTTTTTTACTTTTCCTACCTTATCTATTCGCTTGCGGTTGCAACCATACGCCCGCAACGCGAGTACGCATGCGTCTTCAACCTCTGGAGCGACCGAGCGACTGGAGGCCGCACGTTCATCCCGCCGCCGCCGGCGCATGGGAGTACGCCCGGCCATGGGCCACCGGCGCCGCGCCACCCTCCCCCACGCTAGCTCCTCCTCCGCGCGCCCTCTGTCCCGCACCTACCCGCGCTCCTCCGCCCACAGCGCCGCGCCGCGGACTCCGGCTGTCCGGTCCTCCATGCGTCGCGCCGCCATCCGGTCCTGGCCACGTCCGTCTTCGCCACGAGCGTCGGCGCCCACACCAGGGGCAAATTCTCCCAGGGCCCCACGATCTGAGCGCGGAGCCGGGTGAAGCTCGATTTTTTGGCTCCCATCGACCGATCTGAACACCAGAGAGCGCAATATGCGGGGCTCCTTCGTCGGAGCACCTGCCTCTATACCCGTTTGGCTGTGGGAGCTAAAAACAGCTCCAGGAGCTGGTTGAGAATCCCTACCAAAGGGGCTATAAAAAGCGTGGGAATTTTTTTTTGCCAGAAAAAGGAAGTTTTTGATGTCTGAAAATTGATCGCTGATCTTGAATGCCATGAACATTCGTCAATTTCTGCCCGGTCTGAGATACTGTCTGCCTGTGGGGTGAGGTTTGACGGGGTGTGTGTAGGCTAGGTCCAGGGAGAGAGTGGTGGCGCCCGCGTTATCCTCTCTGATAATACTGCACCCCAGATCATCAGCACAGGGTAAAGGAACATCTGAAATAACTGCTTATAATTGTGCTGACGACCAAATGACGAGCAGAGATCGAAACTAGTGAGATTGGCAACTCCTTTTTACGAGGAGCTGTAGGAGGCAAGGGTCTTGGCATACAGATTTGAGAGGAGGGTAGAAGATAATCTAGATGAAGAGTAGCAATTGCTGCGCGAGATCCCCATTTTGAAAATTGGATACCTTTGGGGTTAGGGACTATCACAATCAACTTTTCATGTTTTCCATAGTTTTGTGGGGTCTTTGGAACGTTAGAAACAAAATGGGGGTCCAGAAGAAGTTTCCGAGGAGTTCTAAAAAATCTTTTACAAAATTTTTATGTTTCAGCAGAGATGACGAATCCTTCTGAAAGACAATAGGATGCCAGATTTTTGGATGACAAGACTGGAGATTGGAGAGTTGGCCGGTGGAGTTTTGGAAGAAGACTGCAGACCTTGAGGTGGAGGGAGTTCTTTAGGTTGTTCTGCTTTAGACATGTTTCTTTTCTCGGTGGTGGTTTAGGAGCTCTGTTGGCTTTTAGCTTGTTTGCCGTTGCTCGTTTATGCTTTCCTGTAAGCCGGCAATCCTAGCAATAACATTGTATGGATGTTTTTGGTTTTTTATAAAGAAGGGAATTGCTGCCGCCCGGACGTCCGACAGGATAAGATTCTGTCGGACGGCACCGAACGGCCCATCGAAAACGCGCCGCACTCTTACCGTATCGTTGTAGCCCTTCCCCGTCTGCCTCGTTCCGCGCCCGCGTGCACGGGTACCCCGCCCCTGTCCGCCTCGCCCGCCGCTCGTTCCCCCTGACCTCCTCCCATCTTTCTCTCCACACGGGCGGAACCCGGGAGCAGGGACGAGGACGAGAACGTGCCGTTCGCAAGACCCCAAGCGTGTCGCGCGCCCCATCCGCCGGCCCCCGGCTCGTCGCGCCCCTTCCTACGAGTCCGGGGCCGTACCCCAACGACTCTCTGAACATACCTCTGAAACAAAATATTTGTAACATAAAACACTTGAATGCAACATACGTCTGAGGCAAGAAGAAACATTTGGAACATACACTTGCAACATATTTGTGAAACATATGCAATCAAGATACTTGCAACTTGCAACATGAAAACACTTATTGCAACATAAGACTGGAATAACTGAAATATTTCGAACATCCCCTTGCAACATATATGTAACATATGCAACATTCAGATAAAAATGCTTGTAACATACGTTTGTAATAGATGATACATTTTGAACAAACGCTTGCAACATGTCTCTGAAAGCTTGTAACATGCATCTGGAACACTTTGCAACATATGCAACATACTGGTCTACTTTTGCAACATCCATATGAAACACTTGTAACATATATATGGGACATCTGAAACACTTCAAACATATGGTTGCAACATGTCAGGCGCGACACTCTAGTGGGAAGCGGCCACCATGCAAGCGCGTTGAGGAACTCTATAACCGCCTCGATGGGCACATCGGGGCTGGGAGGTGGTGGAGCGAGAGCACCACGGCCTTGGCTGCCGCGAGCTTCTTCCGTTAGGGACACCGGGGCGCGTGGAGCCTCGATGCGAGTGCGAAGTACGGCACGGCCGTGACGCCCTCGCGATCTCCAGCTGTAGGAGGAGGTGATGAGGAGGACGCTGGCTCTGGCTCTGGCGATGAGGGCAGGCGCGGGAGGTAGGCGCGACTCCAGCGGCACGGTCTGGCATCGCAAAGGCGAGCGAGGGCCTCGGGGCAGAGGAAGCGGAGGTAGTCGCCGCTGGAGAAGGCGAGCGGTGGACGAGTGGTAGGGAACGCTGCGACGATCGTGCTAGTTGGGAATGTCGCCGTCTTTTTTTATTTTGAGAAACGATGAAAGAATGAAGGTAGAGGGAAATAGACTTATTGGGCTGGTAGTGCACAGGCCCAGAAAGCGCGGCGTCGACTGCACTGTAGCATTCCCGAAAGAATCATGATATATTTCAGGTGCCTGAAATATGGCTGACGGTGACTAGCCATCAGATGAGCAGACGCCTCTGAAGACGCACACATCTTGAATCGATATTTTGATGAACAACACGGCGCCTGAACAAAGCACAAATTTCAGACAACTGATGGATAGGAAAAATGTTTTATAAAAGCTAAGTTTACCTCTGTCAAAAAAAAAAAATCTCCAATCAGGCACTCAGCTCACTCTGTTCTAAGTGTTCAACTGTTCCAGGGAGAGAGAGTGGTGGCGCTCGCGTTATTCTCTCTGATAATACTGCATATCAGCGCAAAGGGAAAGAAACAACTGAAACAAGAGAACTGCTTATATTGTGCTGACGACCAAATGACGAGTAGAGATCGAAATTCATGTGGTTGCATGGCCGTGAAGATTACGAGGAACTGCAGCAGCAGACGAGGCCGCGAGGGTCTTGGCATACAAGATTTGAGAGGAGGGCATAAGATAAACTAAACGAAGACTAGCAATTGCTGATCGAGATTCTCCAATAAGGCACTCAGCCCACTCCGTTCATCTGTTCCAGCACTCAATCAAGCATTTCTTCGCCAGCGTTGCCTGAATGCTGCATTGCTGTTTCCCTATGTTCGAGAACGCCATGACAGTACGGGCCACGGCTGGCGAGTCAGCACCCCCGATCCCCTCAAAGAGGTGCATCGAAGCGCGCAGCGAGCGACGCGGCAGAGCGGCACAGCACGCTGACGCTGCCAAAGCACGGCGCTGGCTCCATCGTCCGCGCCGTCGCGCCACACAGGCCACGCCCGCGACGGCGGCGCCGCCGAACGGCGATGGGATCATGGGAGCCACGTCACTCTGTTTTTTGGTCTCGAATGGCCCTCTCGTCTTGGCACGTGCTTGCGTAGTCACGTGATGCTAGCTCAAATGTGCTGCATGGGCACGTCGTCCACACGTGCCAAGCACTGCATACAGTTAGCCATAGACCGCCCACCACCGACGCCACGTGTCCCGCCTCCCATCGTTTATCGACCGTCAGATGCGAGGTGTGGAACATATAGGAGTAGACAAGAGTAACGAATCTCCTACCGCACTCGACGCTTCTAGCCGGCGCCGGGGACACGTACGTGCGCACGTGTAAGGTAGCCAGAAGGTCGCTGATGACACCTATGCGTCCTCACGTGTTCTTTTTTACTGCCACCGAGTCACAGCGCCGCTACTCGCCGCTCGCCCCTCTCACCTTCGCTTCCGTCCCCATCGCTGGCACGAGCACGCAACTCGTTCGATCGTTTGCAAACTCTGTCCATCCGCTGATCGCCGCCGCCATGGGGCAAGGCAAGGAGACGAAGACGCGACCAGACCCCAAGGTGGAGATCCAGGAGAAGGGCGAGATCTTCTTCTTCTACCGCCCCAAGGTAGACAAGAACGAGGCGCACAGCCTCGACGACGTGCAGCGCATGTACATCGTCCTGCGCCCTGAGTCCACCGGCGGCCGCGGCGTCGAAGAGAAGCAGGCGCCGGACTCCGGCAAGGAAGGCCGCAAGCGCCACCAACAAGGCGACGGTGGCCAGGGAAGAAGCGAGGAGAAAGGCGCGGAAGGCGGCCACGGCAAGGAGGTACACATGCATATATCCAATGTTACATTGTTTAATTTCGTCATATTCATATATGAATTGAACACTCATAATTACTTTTTAAGTGATTGCGCAGGAGGTGAACATCGAGGAGCAGCCGTTGCTCCGACTGGTCGTGATGGGGAAGAAGAGCCTGCCGGACCCGGCGAAGCACAGCCGCCCGTACTGGGGTTACGTCGAGCTCGTCACCACAAAGGTCCAGGACATCAAGGACGCGCTCAAGGAAGGTACAGTATGCGGTGTGCTGAGCAGCTTGCATGCACTCAACTGAGTCTCGCCGAACATTGTCAGTTGGAAGATGAAAAAAAAACTGATCTTTTTTGAGATTTCATAGTCACCCTCGCCGTCCTCCACCTCCACTTCCCCCTCCAGCTGCAGCCCGAGCTCGTCCTCCACGTCGTCCGACGCCGCGATGAGCAGCAGCTGGCACCCCTCGTAGTTGAGCAGGTCCGCCGGCTGCCGAACGCGCCCTGTAGGTGCGCGGGGAACGCCGCCCGGCGCTTGCTCTGCAGCCCGCTGAACCCGCCGCCGTCGCAGCCGCCGGAGGGCGGGTTGGGGTTCTTCACCTGCACGAGGGTGAGAATCAGCAGGCCACGGCGAGCTGCTCGGACCTGGTGAAGATGTTCGGCGAGGTGGCCGACGTGAAGCCGCTGCTGAGCGGGAGCTGGGACTAGACCACGACTGGATGATCCGCCGATCTGATGCCATTGCCATTGTACAGCGTTCGCGGGTCGTAGCTAGGTGTTTTAGTTTGCTACGCTGGTAATAGGTGTTTGTTCCTGTACTGGACCGACTGCTGCTAGTGTCTGTTTATTAGTTCGCTGCATAGTCCGTCCTTGCACAAGCTTCATGTTGTGATGAGGATCAAATGACTGGCAGAGTGCCGGAGACGAAATTCTCATGCTCCTGTTTTTCCTCCCATCCTTCTGAATGAAATACTCGTAGTTAAAGCATGGGCCGATGGGTGCGTATATTACGTTTTGTTGCTCGGCTCACTCTGCTCGTGTGATACATGATTTGGTGCTCGGCCCACTCTGCTCGCATGATCGTGACATAGAAGACGACATGAAGCTGTGACTGCTAGGTGCCTACTCCCATACTGCATCTCTTCGCCAGCGAACAAGCGTTGCTAAACCGGAACGGTGATCTCATATCCTCCGAGAGCGACATGGCGCGCGGAGTGGACCAGAGAACAGGGGCGCCGCACTCGCTCCAGCGGCACACTGCTGCAGTGCTCCCGCTCCGATCCGGAACAGGAAGCGGCCGGTGGCCGACAGCGGTACCGTGCGCAACACGATGGGTCGGCGAGTCAGCACGTTCCCGCGAACAACACGTGCGGGGCCGCTCGCGCGAACGTACGCATCTTGTCTTACCAAAAAGACGCGGCAGCGAGTGACGCGACCGCACGGGAGCGGCAGGCACGGGCACGCGGTCGCCGCACGCCACCGGCCCGTCCGCGGATCGGAGAGGTCCACAGGTGCCGTCCGCCACCGGCCGCGCGCGCCCTGCAACGGCCGACGGCATTGCCCCCGTGCCACACGCCTCGGGGGGTTACTATCATTAAAAGCTGACGCGAGCAGACCCGCGCCGTCGCTCTCGGGCCGCCCGGCCCGGTCTCCTGTCCTCCCGGGCTCCTCCTCCGGGCCCGGGACGAGACGAACGACACAGAATGGCGAGAGGATGGCGCCATCGTCTCGGTCGCTTTCGTGGCCGCTCACGGGTCACGGCTGCACGCACGACACGACCACACGTGTTCCTTCCTGCTCCACGTACTCGCCGGCTAAATTAATCAAACCGATGAAGGCCGAGAGCCTTCCGCCTCAGACCGACGACCCTCTCCATCGATCAGATTTCTCAAATCAAAAAAGGAAACAGGCTTCGAGTGAGAGACCGTAGCAGGATAGAGATTGCCCGGGAGGGACGAGAAGGATTCACGTGCCGAATATGGTGCGCGCGTAGTGATCGACGAATCTTGTGCGGGTAGGCTACGTCTTTCTCGACGGCTACAAAGCAACTTTCGTCTTCCCATCTTTCCAGTCCAGAATATGCCCGCCGAGGACCGACGTTTTCTGCGTATTGTTCGTTTGCTATAGCTAGCACTACTTGCCGATCGGCTCCAAACACCGGCGCCACACGTCGAGCTCGACAAGAGCCAGGAGTCCAGAGTCCACCGGGAAGTTCAGGCTTGAGAGGGCTTCTCATCTTGTTTTATATTAATGACAAAAAATATCTATGCTATCGAGGACCGTAGCAATCCAGCAAGTGAAAGCGGTCGAGCCCAACTTGTTGTGCTGCCTGCCAGAGCATTCGCCGATGTAGGATCGTGGCAAGAGCGGCTGCGGCGACGGACGGAATGGTTGTGGTTGTGAATTGTGCTACGTCGCAAGGGTCAACGACTCAGCGGTGGATCCATGCTAGGGCGCTTTCGGACGTGGGTGGGCGCGGTTGCCTCTTGCCCCTGGCCCGCGTTTGCCCGTGCAGTAGGAGGGAAAGGGGTTTCTATTCTCTCTTCTTTGCTGTTCTCACGACGCTTTTCCTGAGAACCCCTAGCACTCCTTTAATTTTTTTTAATAGCGCCTGTTAGACTTTTCCCGAGTCCTCATCCAAATTCGAGTATTCACAAATTAAACACTTATTTTTTTTAAACGTGTCTGGAGTTCTCATCTTGTCCTAATAGTTGTAAGTTAAATTCAGGACAAGTTTAGGTAGTCGAATGTGTAGTTTTGCAAGTATCAGAACCTAAATAACAACTCAGAATGATTATTCTTTTTTTTATTTCTTCCAACGAAAAAGGACCAGGTTTTTTTTCCTGTAAAAGATCAATTAGAAAAGCAAAATGTGTCTTAGAGCCAGGAGTTTGGACGTGTGATCAAGCAGTGGATCGTTTGGTGTCACAGGGAGTTTAGAGATATATCATAACCGGGTTGTTAGGGTCATCAAGTTTTGTTTGGTTGACTGCACAGAACACTTTAAAAACATAGGGACTCAATGTTTTCCTAAATGTACACGGTAACAATTGGCCATTGTTAGGGCTGCCAATAAAATTAACATTTAAACATGGTAAAGACTATTTTATGTGAACAATGCGATGAAATGATTTTATAGCAAAGTATTGCTTGACAAGAGATATTTCAATTTTTCCGTTGGGAAAAAAATTTAAACACAATAGAATAGAAAAAATAATGAGATTTAAAGAAAGGCCAAACATAAAAGTTAGAATTATACTGAAAACCACAGAAAATCATCAATTCGAACACTTGCATGAAGAGGAACTTATTCAAAATAGTATTTCCTTCAAAAAAGTAGTCAATGAAATCATGCTAAATACTCCCTCCATCCACAAAAGAATGCAATTAATGGACCCATGTCGGTAAATTAGCTCAAGTTTGACCAAGTTTATAGTAAATAGTTTATCATTTATATCTTCAATAAAATTATTATCAAAATATATCTTATAACTAATCTTATGGTACTTATTTTTGTATACAAAATGTTAATACTTTTTTATATAAATTCAGTCAAAGTTCAAACTGTTTGACTCATCAAAATGCGAGAATTGCATTTTTTTGTGGACATAAAGAGTAAACAATAAGGCATCCTCATATCTTATGTGGTTTAATAATATTATAATGTTACATATAAATCATTAGAAACAGAAAACATTCACATTGGTGAATAATGAACTAGAAACCTTTATTTGGAACAAGATAACACATGCTGTGAACAAGTTAAATCGCCTACCAATCTCCATGTAAGAATTTGCATAATGGTTTTGTTTATTACATGATATCTCTAATACAACATATTTGATTTTTTCTGTTTTCCCTCGAGTTATTTAATTGGGTCTTGCACATATTTAGAAAGACATAGTCATCTTTTTAGCAAAGAGATGACCCATGTTGTATCTTTGCAACAACAGTTTCAGTAACACAGCAATGATAGAAGAAATAATGATAGATAGATCAAATGCACATGCTCAAAAATGTTACTTTCTTATTCAATTATTTTTGTCTATTTCTTGATATAAGCAACTTTGACAAATGGTATCCTTGTAATTCTTGTTCCAGTAATTCAGGAAGATATTAGTAAATGATTAAGGATGACATCCTACACTGCCTAATGAATTTTGGCAAAGTTGACTGTACATATGAATTGTTTGCTAGTAACTAAATAAACTTAATGGACTTGCTCGAACAGTTGGCCCTAACACTTAAAGCCAACGAAAGGCTAATTTTACAATTAAGTATGAAAGAAAAAAAACATCAACGTATATAAATACTTTACTTTTGGATGCAAAAAAAAGAGATAAAAGTCAATATCCTCTTATCTCAGCACTAGGCGAGTGTCGAAAAATCAAGTAAAAGCCACACGTATAGAGACATGCAAAGAGAAATTCACTCTCGGAGAAAAAAAAAAGGAAGAGTTGAGTTGCATACAGGCAGCATTTTGTAGAACCGAGGATTTCCCCCACTTTCATCACAAGATTACGGAAATAGTACAGCAGAATAGGACAATTTAGAACCGTATATACAGAGTATGCAGGCAGCATGCCCACAATAGAACCGTATTTTCCGTGAAAGGAAAGGTCTAATCTGAAAAATAGTCTCAATTTTTTTTTTGTTCTCTTTCTCTATCGCGTCGTCTTCCTCGTGACTTCTCCAAGGTGAAACCCTAGCTGCTCCCAACCTTCGCGCCATCACCGCCGACTATCGCCGGCAACAGGTCAACAGGAGAGCCCGTTCATATCGGGGACCTCTCAATTGAGAGTTTCGCCTCTCTCACCCTTCCCCTGTTCTGCCGCCTCCCCAATCAGTGTGCATCAGCAGGGACATCACGGTCGGCGATGGAAAGGCTGCGCCGACGTCCTCGTTCCATCCTCTTATTATGTTGAAGTGGCGTTGCGTGGCGTGGAGATTCCTTGACCGATCTCTTGCCAGTAAGTAATCTGTTTTGCTGATCCTGTTTGTTTCTGTTTAATCAGATTCTAGATGAAAATAAGCGAAAATCCCACCCAAACGCGTAGATTATTTCTCGATTAATCAGTAGTAGTCCGCGTTCTCTGTACCGCGAGCTCACGCCCGCGTTTCCTCCACAGCGAGCTTTATTCCTCCTGTCGCCCCTCCCCGCTCACCCTCCTCTCCGCCCTGCCGTGCATCGCTGCGCCGCTCCCCGCCTCCCCAGTTCGTTGGCCCGTCCCCACGCCGCGGCCCCGTTAGATCCATCACCACCGTGCTTGGTCCGTCAGACGGCTTCCTGCGCTGCTGCTCCCAATCTGCCATGCGTGTGGTGAATTCCTGTGGCCTAAACAGATGGGGAAAAGGCTACTTTGATTGGTGATCCTCATCACAAGACAAGAGTATGATCATATTTGTGCCGTGAAAATTGAATTTGGTGCTCTCTTCTATTGTCAGGCTCATCCAGATCCATGCTTCAAATTGGTCGGTTATACATTTTGTAGAGAACATGAGATTAATTGTTGGGTGAAAAATTGAATTGGCCACACTATGAGTGATTAATTGTTGTATCCATCTCGATTTCTTTAAAATTTAGAGAATGAAATGCTCCATTTTTTGTCCATTTGATTGATGATTTTATTATTGTAACAAACTAAATTATTATTATTGATTTCAGCTTGTATTCAGTCAACAAATGAGCTACTCTTAACCTACGAGGCATACAAGTCATTTTACACTGAATACAGAAAATCTATACGCAATAATCAGGATTGCCAAACACCCAGATTTTTTCAGACAATAGATTCTTTAGACCGCAGCTTCTTATTAAATTTTGATCAGATTAAAATTGTCATACAAGTGGTTCCAAACAGGGCCCAAATCTCTTCGTCTTGTTTGTTGCTCAGTAGCTTGATAATTTAATATAGCACATCCAGTTTAGTCACTCTAGTCTAACCCATCCATCCATGGTTTGATCAGGTTTTTCCTTTTCTCCGTCGTGCAAGATCAATCCTTCCTTTTCTCCGTCGTGCATGGGGTTCAACTGAATCAGATGCTCCACGTTAAGGCCACCCTTGAGCTTGATGGCGGAAGGAAGCAGTAGCCATAGGAGGAGTGCATTCTCCCCTGGGCTGGCTGTGTTATTGTCTGGTGACGAAGCTAAGATTAGCCACCAGAAGTCGCACTTGGTGTCCTATCATGATGAAATTGGGCACCAGGCTGTTGAGAGGACGATAGAGCACATCTTTGATCTCCCTCACAGGTCAGTGGTCCGGCCTCCTGGACCAATTGACACGGGCTTCGTGCTCTCAGTGTTGAGGAATCAAGCTAGAAAATTTGATATTGACTGGGAAAAATGCATCCGTGGATACCATGGCAGCGTCTTGATTGTGGACAAAGGTGCTGGGCAGAGCAAGGTGGTTCTTGATGATTCGAGCATTTGCGGTAGCTTCAGGAATGTCAGGGGACCTTTACTTGTTGAGAGCTCCGCCCCGTTCAGCAGTGCCAGGGCTAATGCCTGTGTGTGGAAAGGAAAATGGATGTATGAGGTGACCCTGGAGACATCTGGAGTTCAGCAGCTTGGATGGGCTACTCTCTCTTGCCCTTTTACTGATCAGAAAGGTGTTGGTGATGCTGATGATTCATATTCCTTTGATGGCCGGAGGGTGACTAAGTGGAACAATGACCCAAAGCCATATGGCCAGCCATGGGCAGTAGGTGACGTGATCGGTTGCTGCATCAACTTGGATGCAGGAGAAATCTCCTTTTACAGGAATGGGACTTCTCTTGGTGTTGCTTTTGATGGAATTCGCAATGTGAAACCTAAGAAGGGATATTATGCTGCAATCTCCTCTCGGAAGGAGAGCGCTGTTATCTGAACTTTGGCTCACATCCACTCAGGTATCCTGTTGATGGGTTTGATCCATTGGAGGCGCCACCACGCTCTTGGTCGTTTGTGACATATCTTCTTAGATGTCTGTTCCGATTGCTAGAAGTTCACAACCTGGAGAAATCTGAATCAGCATACTTTGAGAAACTGAGGAGGGTCAAAAAATTCGCACCACTGCAAGAACTCTTTCGACCAATTTCAGAAGGGATATGTGCAGAACTTTTCAGTGCTATTGAAGTGAGCCAGGGGTGCCTTGAGTATATTGCCTGGGGCTCATTGACCACTCTACTCTTAGATGTTTTCAGGACTCGTGAGCCACATGATTTCTCATGCCTTGATCAGGTTCTTGACCTTTTCCTCCGGTTCCCAGGCTGCACTTCATTATTTCAGGAGCTCATTGTGGCTCTTTCTTGCATGTGCAAAGCTGCACCACTTGTGTTGACAGAATGCCCGTATTCTGGGTCATATCCATTTTTAGTGCTGGTTTGCCACCTTCTGAGGCATAAAGATGTAATGTGTTTATGGTGGAAAGCAGAAGATTTCGCTTTCTCGTTTGAAGGGTTCCTTACAAGGAAGATTCCAAATAAGCAGGATTTACAGTGCCTTGTACCATCTGTTTGGTGGCCTGGGTCTTCTGAGGATGAAGTTAGCATGACACTGACGATGACAACACTCTCAGATGCAATAAAAAAGGTAAATTCCTTTCATCTCGGCAGATTTTGCTGTAAGCAGTCATTTCTTCTCCTGATAACTAGGAATTCTGTGTTGCACAAAGAATAAGTATGTATTTGTTTCATCCTATTGATTTCTTACATGATGTTAACACAGCAGCAAGAGTTTTGCACAGAGAAGAAGCATGTTTTCATTTCTTCCTGTTCACTTCTTACATAATGTTGCCACAGCAACAAGAAGCTCCAGTTTTTACTGTTCTGTGAACTTATCCTCTATCCTACCATCGAATAATGTTTCAGGTTGATGATCTATATTCACGCTCACTTGAATCATGTTCTCCAATTATTTGGTTGCACTTGACATGTGGACATCAATGCTACATGCCTACACCATTCGATAGTTTGACTAGCATGGTGTTTGTAGTTGACCTAGTTTAGAGTTCTTCATTTCTCTTAGTAAACTGCACTGCTGTGATTGGATATGATTGCATTAGTGAACTTATGCGTTCTGCTACCTTTTATTTTCTATACTTGTATGTTGCCTGATTCTCATGCTTTCTGCTTTTGGGGTTGACCTTTCAATACCCTTTGCCTATGTCCTTGCAAGGCATTAGTGCATGGCACCCATACGAGGGTTGATAAGGCACGATTTTTTGTCAAGTCAGTTGGCCTGCAATTTAACTTTGTCATTTGCTTAATAGAATACTTTAGCACACTATTGATTCTAGATATCTAAAGCTCTCTCCCTCCCTTCTGTCTTGTCATATACTCACAGGCTGCTATTTTTCTTTGCAGATTGAGGAGATGCATCGTGAGCTTTGCAGCTTGGTAATATGCTTTATTCCACCAATGTCTCCGCCTCAGCCTCCAGGCTCTGTATTTAGGTCCTTTGTACAAAGTTTGGTGCTGAAAGCTAGAGGTGGTGATCATAGGATGGTTGTCAATGGGACTTTCAACAACACTGTGCTTGTTTCATTGTACACAGTAATCCTACATTTGTTGTCTGAAGGATTTTCTATGGATTCTGCTGGATCTGCGTCATCCTCTAAAGCGAACTGTGGGAATGGTGTTGGATTTCTTCACAAAGGTGGAAAGCGCAAGTTTCCAACACAATTGCTTTTTAGGAATGATGCCTATTACAGTGTAATTCCTAGAATCGGTGGACCACCAAGTATTTTGATGCATCACCAATTTGATGCTGTGGAAAATGAAGTACAATGGGATGAAGGCTGCATGAATGATGAAGAGACACGTGTTACACACACTACAGTACAGAAGCCTTGTTGCTGCTCAGTGACAGATGTTGCTGTTGGCCTAAGATACAAAGAAACTGCTAAGTATGTGCCATCAACTTCAAAAGGCCCATGTAAGCCTATGCCTGAAAGGTCTGCTCATGTAGCTGCTGAGTGCAATGGTAGAGGTCTGAGTGATGAGATCGAAGACAAACCTAGCTCTAGTGCTCAAGAAGAAATTGAATATGGATACCAAGCACTGCATAGTCTTGAAAACATGCCAATGGCAACTCAATCTTCGTCGGAAGCACTTAAAGAAGAAGAGCTGCTTGATGTTATGTTGTTGTTATACCATCTGGGCATCTCACCAAATTTTAGGCAGGCAAGTGATATTTTTTTTAAGCATACAAACACATATATGTTGCAGGAAGGATTCATATCTTTGTTTCAGTGGAGTATTCATGACCTGTTCCCAACTTGCCACGGAATAAGTTGTCTTAGTTCTGTGTATGTTCAGTCACCTACAAACTGCATGTATCCAATCACCTTAGGTGTACAAGTTTGTACATGCATGCATTTTGCCTGGAGAAAATCCTTCGTTGCCTTTGACTTCTATAACCACCCCTTCATTGCCAATTTGCCATCGAAAGTTATAGGTTCCCTTCACTGCCATCAATTTAGAATTTTTGATCCCCTCATTGCCATTACCATTGCTTAAATAGATCTTGTTCCCTTAGCTGCCATCCATATAGATAATTTGTTCCCTTCAATGTCATGGAGGGAACGGAACGTCATTGTGCCATGTACGAGACTGCTACCTGGCGCACGCCATCTTCAAGGGCTACGGCGTGCGCCTCGATGAGCGTGATGTGTCCATGCACCGTGGCTTCTGGGGGCCTGACATGGTTGGTGCGGCTGTCTTAGGCAGCGGCCATGACCTTTTTCTCCTGCTCCATCTGCACCGCTCGCAGCAGCTCGCCGTCCATCCATGAGACGTGGTTGGGGCTTAGCCCCCCTGCATCATCCGTCCCATCACGGGGCCTGCCCCTATTGCGCTTCTCCTTGCCTCGACAGCTGCCTACGCCAATCAGCGGCGGCGTCACCTTGGCAGACGCTGTGATCTCCTGCAACACCGTGGCGACTGTGAAAACGCCATTCCGTTACCTCAATGGCATTGAGGGGAACAAATTATCTATATGGATGGCAGCTCGGGGAATAAGGTACGTCCATGCAACGGCAATGGCAATGAAGGGATAAAAAATTCTAAATGGATGGCAGCGAGAACTTATAATTTTGGATGGCAATGAAGGGATAGTTATAGATTTGAGTGGCAGTGAGGGAATTTTCTTGAAAATATGTGCCATGTTCATCGGCCAACACCTGGATTTTTTTCTAGATGACTTCACTTTGTGGTGAACTATTGAACATTGTGTCCTCATGTAACTATAAAGAAATCCATCCAAGAATACAAGGCATATTTTGACCTACTCTTCAAAGTTAATCTCTTACCATTGTTTTCTCACAGTATATATTATTTTATCAACAAAACCAATATGTTTTGAAAGAATTTCATAGTATATCTGGTTGTGTAATTTTTATGCACTATCAAAAATTCTTATAGGTTGACTAAGTATTGGTCAGAACAGACGAAGTTTCCCAAAATAAATACGCCTTGTGTTTTTGCAAATGGGCAGTATTTACTTGTTCATTGACTTTGCCATCCATTGACATAAAATGGACCACACGACCCTAGTGAGTCAACGATACATTCATTATCCATTGATACTCAGTTTACTAGGATATTAGTATATGTTGATTTTAATTCAAATGATAGCACTGATTTAAGTTAGTTCTGTACAGGCTTTTTATTTCATGTCTCAGCAGTCGCAGTCCATTTCTTTACTAGAAGAAACTGACAGGCAGATACGAGAAAAATCATGCTCAGAGCAAGTAAGGCGTTTGAAAGAAGCCCGGAATAGCTATCATGAGGATTTGGTGGATTGTGTACGCCATTGTGTTTGGTATGATTTTCTGAAATGATAAATCTTCTGTACTTTCTTACTACCATGGGCAAATGATAATTTTTTTCGCATTTGCTAGCAATGTTTAGAACTGTGCTGCAGACATGATTTTCGGATTTAGTTTTGATCTGGGATGTTCATATTAACTTATTCACAATAGATTCAACTGGTTAGTGGTACTAGAGACAGATGGAAAGCATTCCCTTCAAGTTTAGAGATTCCTTGCAGCTAAATGACTTATGGAGATGTTCATTGATTTATGTTCTTTTGATTTCTATGGTATGGATATCCAAGTAGCGCTATGATAGTTTTTTAGGCCGCCGAGTTAATCTGCCGTTTTTTTTTCTTATGGTGCATTCAGGTACCGGGCCGCCCTTTTCTCCCAGTGGAAGCAAAGGGGAATGTACGCAACTTGCATGTGGGTCGTGGAGCTTCTTTTGGTCCTTAGTAACTCAAATAACATTTTCCACTATGTTCCTGAGTTCTATGTGGAATCACTGGTAGGTTTATTGTTTCCTTTGGCGTTGTTTTTCTTCATTCACAATGAATCTATTTACCCAAGAGAGTTTTCTTCTTATTACCTTTGCAGGTGGATTGTTTCCATGCACTGCGAAGGAGCGATCCTCCTTTTGTTTCCCCTGCATTATTTCTCATGCAAGGGCTGGCCCCATTTGTATGTACTGAATCATCTTGATGCTTCTTAGTTCATTATTTTTTCTTTGAAACCTAATTGCACCTTTATTCTTGACATTAATAGTATTAATTATTGAAGGTTTGCAGTTAATAGTAGCTATAGTTCAGGTCTTTTAGCTTATAGAGATAAACAGCCTATTTTAAACTTTAAATTATATAGTTCGGTTGAACCAAATCATGATTAATTTCTTGATAGGTTTCAGCATACTCTTTGAGTGCTTCAAAGTTATCTAAGGGTTCTGTTTTATCAATAATAGGTCACTCTGGTTGTCAAGCACTTTACGATGATACAAGGATAGTGAATCCTGACTTGAAAGATCTTCTTCTTCAATCCATATCAGTCCTTGTACAATACAAAGAATTCATGCTTGTTTTCGAAAACAATCGGGAGGCTATAAATAAGATGCCTAGATCACTTTTATCAGCTTTTAACAACAGATCATGGATTCCTGTTACGAACATACTTTCCCGGTTCTGCAAAGGCTCAGGATTTGCTTCCTCTAAGAATGGCGAATCCTCATCATCTGCAACTTTTCAGGTATTTTTAAATATTGTTACTTTTGATTTAATTCGCTCCTATTTTTGTTCAATTTGATTGTTATGCAAACTAATATTTTGATCATCTGGTTTCCTCCGAAGGTTCTACTGAGGGAGACATGTATTCATGAACAAGAGCTGTTCTTTTCCTTCCTCAATCGACTTTTCAATACACTCAGCTGGACAATGACCGAGTTCTCTATGTCCATCCGGGAGATGCAAGATAAAAACCAGGTGGACTATCTTTTTTTTTATACCTGTGTGCTGGTTGGTCGTAGCCTGCAGGAGTCATATCCTTTAACCTCTTCTCTATGATGCAGCTGTATAGTAATAAAATATAGTTAATATAATCGTTGTGGGATTTGGTTGCTCCAGTTATTCCAATACAATTTATCATGAGAGTACCAATGTGTTCCTTTGTTCCTCTGGTGTGACCCTGCAATTATGAAAAATATGATCAACCATCTGTTATTTTCAGGTTGCTGATTTGCAGCAGAGAAAGTGCAGTGTAATTTTTGATATATCATGTTGTCTTGCGAGAATCTTGGAATTCTGTACCGAGAGATTCCTTGTGCATTTCTCATGGGACCAGATATGAATTTATGGAGGTTGACTGAATTAGTTGTCTTTATTCTCAACCACATCATATCAGCAGCTGATGCAGAGTTCTTTGACATGTAAGTAAACATCTTAATCTTAGTTTCTGATTTTTTCAGAGGTAGAATGTTCTTACTGAAAGTCTGCTTGGTGTACAATCTTTGAAAGCTACATTGTGTTCATTACCTAAATAAATTGCTACCGCGATTCCTTTGAGCTTATTAATTGAAGCTGATTCTGAGTCAATTAATTATGCTTCCATCTTGGTAGGTCTATTTTTATGTTTTATGGTACATATAGGAATTCTCTTGCTTATGCAACAAGAAAGTAGGTGGGCCTTTTTTTTAACCAGTAGGAAGCTTGTGGATGCAGGACACTAAGACGGCCAGGGCAGCATCAAGAGAAAACAAATCGTACTATGATCTTGGCTCCTCTTGTCGGCATTATCCTCAGTCTTATGGAATGTAGCAGCACATCAGAACAAAGGGAGCTAAATGATGTGATTGCAGTGTTTGCAAGCATGGATTGCCCTGCCACAATCCATTTTGGGCTGCAGTACCTACTGAGCTACAACTGGGTTTGTTTTCTTTCTCATTCTATATTTTGTATCTTATTTCCTTGATCTGTTTGATTTTTAGTTTTTATGTTATTTTCTTTTCTATTTTGTTGACACAGTGTTCCATTATTTATGTATTTCTGTAGAGCAATGTTCTTCGAGGGGATTCCTCCCTTGCAAAGCTAGCACAGCTTGAAGAGTTCTCCCATTACTTCCGACGCATTACAGTGTCTGTGGATGATGAAAAAGACCATAGCATTAACATGGGTGATGAAGAAGCAGATGACACCTGTTGCATTTGCTACAACTGTGATTCTGATGCAACATTCCAGCCATGCCATCACCGGTCCTGTTTTGGCTGCATAAGCAGGCATCTCCTGAACAACCAGAGGTGCTTCTTCTGCAATGCAGTGGTAACATCAGTTACTAGGATAGCTGATTCGTGAGAAATGCACTACTCTACTCATGGTCCCCTTCGGTGTCGTCATCCGAAGGAAGATCATGCCACTGATTTGTCTATCTATTTTGCTTGACCTGAGGGCTGAGGTGTTGGCGGCTCAGAGATCTTTCCATTGCTTTTCCAGGAAGACCGCATTACCTTTGTGCACATACGTCAGAAACGGTTCTTCTTTTTCCTTGTTGTGTGTAAAGGTCAGGTAATAGTAGAAAGGATTCAATAACATTACTGCAGAAGGAGGTTTCTGTACACGGTGGGAAGCCAGTACCACCGAAAGGATCCATGGAATCGCAATTTTGTAGGTTGTAGGAGATTCCACGATTGTGTAAATATGAGATATGAAACAGAAAAAGGGGTGACAGATCAACGTCGACCTTCTGTAATTAGCCAAAATAAAAGAACTAGATGCTTTATATTGATCAGAGCTGTAGTCTTCTTTTTGTTCCTCCCTACGGTGTAGCGTCAAGAGTGAACAAATTTTCTGTTTCCTGCCCGGTTGTAACATGCTGTCAGTTGTAACAATTCAGTAAATTAGCTTCAGCAAAAGGGTTACTTGTTCAAGTGTTTCTGGGTACACGTCATACGTATACGTACGACAACACGTATAACAGTGTGCAAAGTGAAATTTATTCGCACACCTAATATTGGAGGGCGGTGTACGCAAAGTCCATGAATGAAATGAAAAACATTGAGGAAGAAGCGTATTTCTAGGGTTTTTTTTTTGATCGAAGCCATTACAATTCTTCGAAGTTGGAGGAATGACATTATAATTCGGTTATTCTGAAATATGTCATTACAATTCGGTGTTGCGTGCTTGCCATTTTCTACGTATGTGAATAGCTCGGCCCACTTGTCGTCGTCGAGGAAGGCATACATGACTTTCCTATGGACACCCATGCCCCGCTGTTAGCGTTAGAAGCCGCCGTGGCCCTCTCGGTCTTCGTCTCCCGTCCGACTCCTTCCCCACCCGCACTCATCCTTCTTCGCTCCCTCCCTCCAAGAACCCTAACCCTAGAATCTAGCCAACGTCCATCCCCCTGCCTGAGTCGACGTCGCAGCCCACGGCGGAGCAGTTTGGCACGACCACCTGAGATCTGCAGCATCTGGTGCTCTGGAGGCTCGGTTCGATGGCGGCGCCCAACTTTGAAGCCATGTCCGGGAAGTGGAGTCGCAGCACCATGAAGGCAACTTCCAATGGCTCGAGCTCGACGGCCAGCGGTAGAAGGGAGTGCCCCTTTTGCCATGTTGCTTTGGTCCGCATCCAGAGCAAGCAACCGGCGACAAAGGGCGAGTGGTACCTCAAGTGCCCGTACAACATCAAGGTTATGATTTTTGACATTGTTGTGCTCGCTGTGTGTTGATTCATCTCTGATTTATGCCCTTTGTTTCGATTGCAGGATGATGATAGTACCTGCCCATACATCCGCTCTGAGAAGGAGTATATGGCCTTTGAAGCACAGGAACGGAGGGTGCAGTTAGTGAAGGATACAGCTGGTGTTTGTTGCGCCGATTTGAAGGAAGAATTGGAACTAGTGAAGCAAACACTGGATAGTGTTGTAGGAGAGGTTTGGAAAATAAAGATGCTACATGTTGAGGTGATGCCTGCAGTGAAGCCTAAAGTCGGCAACAAGAACATGCAGATTGTGCTTGATTCTTCTTTTTTAGCCGCTGTCTATATAGGCTTTGTAGGTGTCATGATTGGTGTGGTTGTTGCTGGTATGTAGAAGTGAACAGCTGAAACAAACAGTGGATTATCGCTGGAATGTGGAAGTGATCAGACTGTACCAGTTTCTTTTAGGAAGCAATATGTGTGTGTGCCTGTATGTTCCCAGAATCGAATTGAATGAATGTATGGTTCTGATTGAATGAATGAATGTTCCAGAATTGTGTTATGCCATATAGGCCATCTGAAATATACAGAACTGTTCCAGGAATTGTTCCCAGAACACATGTATCATATGTATGCCATTAAAGCCATCACTAGTCAAGGCAATAAGAATGTAACACAAATATATCCCATATAGGCCATCTGAACTTGAAATACAACACATGTACCATGTATATGCCATTTAGGCCATCACAAGTTAAGAAAAAAAATAAGAAAAAAAAGACCAAATCTGCAACTTCATTGACACAGCCAAGTTCACAAACTGCAGGTTCAAATGCCATTTAGTCCATTACAGATCACGTTCAGGTTCAAAGGCCATATAGGCCATTCACACAACCAAGTTGCCATTTAGGCCATCACATAACAGGTTCAGGTTCCCGGGCCATATAGGCCACATATCCTAAGTCATAAAATAAGCTGCAGGTGGATTACGGCCATTACATATTAGGTTCACAGGACGTGAAGGCCATTTGCCATTACACATAAAATAAGCTGTAGCTTCATTACTGCCCATCATTTATCATATCAAACAGGCTTCTAACAACCTATGCAGGTGGAGCTACTGCATTTTTCTTTAATTTATTCTTAACTGGTGTCTTCTTCTTCTTAGGTGTCTTATTTTTCTTAGGTGCCTTCTTCTTCTTGTTTACTTGAGATGGTCCAGCTTCTTCTTCAACTGGCATCTTCCTACAAAATAAGTTTAAAATTATTTATTTTTCATACCAAAGATGTAGTGAATGATCAAAATTATTTTTATGTACTTATTTTCTACCTTTTATTTAGAGCAAAGTGAGGTCAAGCTATCCGTCCCCATCTCAGGTTCCTTGCATGTCTTGGCAAAGTGTCCAAAACCTCCATACCTGTGACATTTCACTTTCTTCTTTGTACTGTTTTTTTCCAAGCAACCTCTTATCTTACTACTTTAGGCCTGCCTGGTCTTCTTCCAAGTAATGGTGGGAAAACTTTAAATCCTAGCTCAAAATGAGGCCACTCGACCTGTCAGGCATAGGTTCCACTCTCTGTTCATATGCAGCTCTAAACTTTGCAACAGAGTAATACTCATGGACATAGTCATAGATTTGGACTCCTCTGTTAGAGCAAATCCATGTCAGGGCGTGCTTGCAAGACTTACCAGTTATTTGCCATTCTCTGCAGGAGCACTTGTGGTTTTCAAGATCCACTATGTGCCTTTTTTTTGTTGTTCTAGTCATCTAATATTGTGACCTCTGCAATGCCATCATCACAGGCTGCAACCTTGACTACTTTCAAATTTTTGCTAATGGCATTGAGATCCTTGACTACACCTGGGAGGATGCCATCCTCTCACTGCCTTGCAATCTTTTTCCTAATGTACCTCTTCTCCATTATGAGCTCGCTCGGCATGTCAACCAACTCATGGAGGTGAAGTCCCTTCAGCTTTTTAATCTGTGCATTGAAACTCTCTTCCACATTGTTAGTTAGTTAATCACACTTGCTAAGCTCTGAGAAGGCACATCTGTACCAAATCCTAGAATGGTCTTCCTTAAGGTACTCAATTGCATCAGGAGCAAACTCAAAAAATTTCTTCATGTGCCACCTGAACATGCCTTCTGTGTAGCTCCTTGCAGCAGGATACAGATGGTCAGTGAACACATCACCTGAGTAGTGCTTCATGAAATTTTGGTACAGTGCCTCATGCACTCCCTATTCTCAGCATGTGGAAAGATAGCTCCCACAACTTTTTCTAGGCCTTTACAAGCATTTGAACAAACCACCAATCCTGGAGGGTCCCCCATAGCTCTGTGCAAATTCTGTATGAACCACTTTCAGTTATCTTCAGTCTCTATGTCAAAAACACCATAGGCAATATGGTACAACCAATTATGGCCATCAACCTCAGTAGCTGAAACCAACTGCCCAAGATACCTCCCATTCAGACTAGAAGCATCTAAACCAATAAATGGTCTGCAACCAGCTAAGAATCCATCAATGCATGGCTTCAGAGCAACAAATATCCTTCTAAACCTTTTCTGTTCACCTACTGTCTCTAATTCTATTTCTACAATGCTACCAGGAGAACTTATTTCAATCTGTGCAGTCCAATTGAATAAAAGTTGAAAACTTTCCTCATAAGACCCATGAATCTGGTCTAGAGTAACCTGCAAACCTGATCAAGCTTTGGAGTACTTCAACTTAATTCCATAGTCACCCTCCAATTTGTTTTTGGCATCCGTTGGGCCCTTATTTGATTCTTTTTCACCCAGTCTGCTAGCCTGTCTATAGACTAACCCTGACTTGCCATCTTTCCTTCTCAAAGCTTGGTGGTAGGACAATTGTGCTGTGCAAGAAGCACTTTTACCTGCACAAACATGTCAAACAGGTCGTTAGCATGTCAAAAAGGTCACAAATAGGTCATAAACAACAGCAGTTCAACACATTACCTTTATTGTTTTTTATCATAAATAGTGGATGCATGTATGTGCCACGGACAACCCTCTGCAGCACAGTGAGCTAAGAACCTGGTCTTATCTATTTTGAGCCTAGCAAACTCAAAACCAGTCTTCACCGTGATGATGCCTAATTGCTTTCCTGAATGCAATGATATCAGGAAAATGTGCCCCCTTCACTATGTTTGGATTCCAAGGATCATGGAGTACATGCACCTCAAGAGGGTCTGCATCATCAACAACAAAAGCATTTTCATCAGATGGGTGAGCATCAACAGAATCATAAGTATTGTTAACTGGCTGTGCATTAGCAACTGAAATATAGATTTGTTCATCATCAACTCCAACATATTCTTCAGGATTATCAAAGACATCAGGCTCCCTCTTAGGCTTTACATCAACATCATCACCTTGTTTAAGCTCTAAATCAGTAGCTGCCTCTAGATTATTAGCGACAGCAGTACTAGGTTCAGGATCCTCTAGATTGTTAGTAGCAGCACTATTTGGTTCATCGTCAATGAAAAAATCATTGTTGGGTATCTCAAATCTAACCTCAGCAGGAATTGCACACAAAGGCTGTAGGTCATCAAACTCAGCATCATTATCAAACAATCCCACTACAAGCTGACAGCCTATCTCTTCTTTGTACATTTCAAAGACATCAACCATCTAAATTTCACTAATTAATTTGACATCCTCATGCAGTCTTTTATCAAAGAACCACACTATGGGTAACTGGTTAGAGGGCACATTCAATTCATTTGCAATACTTGACACCAACAGTTCAAGCGTTAAAGACCCAAACTCCACATCCCACTTAATCACAGTGCCTTTAGTGTATGATTTCCTACCATCTGAGTCTTTTGTAGCGAAACCATGGACTTTAACCTCTACCACGAACATACCATTCCTACCAACAATCAAATCGAGTCCCAAATCGAAGTGTAAATAGGCAAGCACAAGTCAACTACACTATGTGCTCAAACTGATAACAGGGGACGCGCACACATTACCTGCTATTGCAGTCCTCCATCTCCGCCGTAGCACTACGGCGTAGAAGCAGGAAGACCTCGCCCATCGTCTTCATGGGTCCTGCATCTCCTCCGGTGGATGTGCCAGCCACAGACGTGACACCACCAGCCGCTGCCACCACCGTTGCACCTCCGCAGCTCTCCGTCGCAGCTCCATAGGTCTCCGACAGCGGCTACAATCTATGTAACACCCTCGGTGTTACACTGTAAAGTTTTTTGCTAAAACACTGCATGAGCATCATACTTATATGTAAATGTGTGTAATATAGGGTGTAAAGCAATATACGGAACTTGAAACGTTCATCGGAAACACGAAACGAATGTTATATTTCATGTCGTGTTTTATCACTTAGGGTTCTAAACGAATTTTTATTGAACAAAAATGTTATAGAACGCATATGCAAAACTTTAGTACAGTTTGTAGCATGAACTTCGTAGGTGACTGTGAAATACGTGCGGTCGAGGATGGGATTCAGTAGCTAGCTTACTTAATAGCTTGGAAATGGAATTCGACGCGTAACCGTTTGAGACTTAGTCGAAATTCCTAAGTTGGACGACGCTTTGACGAAGCTAGGTTTGGGAATTTTTGTAGGCAAATTGGATTAAGAAGTAGTGTAATTTCATGGTTGGTTTTAGTAGCTTGATATACCATCTCGAGCGTAAAATAGGTGGCTTAGCAATCGGATCATTGAGTTGGATGTTTGGGATGCTTTAAAAACCGTGCATGGCACGTTTTGGCTGATGTCAGCGTATGGTCATGGTCACCGTTGCCTCGGCTCAGCATGCTACGCTGGTTCGCTTCGACACGCACGCACGCCGCACGCATGCCACCGCACTGGCCGGGCCCATCCGTTCTGCTCAGCCGCGGCTGTCTGCCTCGCGGGGTCCTCGCGCAGCTGCTAGCCTCGGTTGCGGGCGCTGGGTAGCCGCATGCACTCTCATCGCCAGCGTCATGCCCGCCTACATCGCTGCGCCGCCGACCCGTCGTCGTGTCGTTGCCTGCGCTACATTGCGTCGCGTCAATGCGCTACAGCTAGTCACGGTCGTGATCTCTGGCTTGCCCGCGTGCGCCTACCCGCTCGCGTCGTGTCGTTGTTGGCCCTGCTCCACCGGCCGCTCTGTCATGGCCGCCGTCGTTTGTGCATCAATGCACTGCGGTCGCACATTGTCATGTCGGCCTAGTACGCGTACGTGGAGCCGTCATCCGTCGCGATGTTGTCTTCTCCCATTTAGAGGCTGCGCCACGCCACGCTCCCCGTCATGTCGCCTTGAATGGCGTCGCGCCGGCCGGTCGAGCCACGCCAAGGCAAAACCCATAGAGCCTGGCCCCATCCTTATAATTGTGCTTGTCTAGAGGTCGAGTTGGAGTCCAGCTTCGTGCCAAGCTTGCTACTGTTGCAGCCGTACGGTGTCGGGGCTTCAATTGGAGGTTTCCCCTGCCGTCGACCCTTAAGTCCGAATGTTGTCATCCATCTGATTGGCATTGCATAGTCCACCTCCGTCCAATTAATAGTGCACTCAACTAGCCTTGGTAGTTAGCTCGCGATTGGAGTTGACCCTACGAGCTTTCATACTCTAGTGAGGTAATGCGGGGCGTTTTCCCCGTGGCGGTCCACCATGGCCGTCGAGGCGGGTGCTCGGCTAGGGCGTCGCTCCTTACTCCTTTGTTTCAATTGAGC